GAAATAGAGTTAAAGAAAGAGAGGAGGAGGAATATGTAGGGACCAATAGTAATGATTCAATAGATGGGTCAGAGGAACCGTGGCCGTGTCCCCTTTTCTTCCCTCCTGCCTCCCACTTACATGCACCCACTCTTTGCAATCACATTGTAACACTATTATTTTAGCATATCCTTAATTATAGTGTAATAAAAATAAAATTGAAAGACATATATTATACTTTAAAAAAATAAAGATATCGACTAGTGAAAAAAATAAAAATACTGACTAGTGTATTTAAATATGATCGAGATTTTTTTTTTTTCAATAAAGAATTATAGTTTATTCTTTTAGGATTGTCATATGTGATTTTCCCCACATATACGTCTACTAGGAATAATAACAAACTTAACTAAAGGTTAAATCAAATAACGTGACTAACTATCGTAATTATTTACATAATCTAATGGTAATTGTATATACAGCCTAACAATATATATTCAGGTTCAAAAATAGTTGGGCATTTACGCAATCTCCACTAAACGCATCCACCTATAGTCCTGCAGGGGAAAAATGGATATAGCTAAAAGGAATTCAACTTCAATTTGAACAATTCATATCTTTATAGCTAAAAGGAATTCAACTTCAATATGAACATTCATATCTTTTTAACTTTTTAACCCTTTGTTTGAAATTTTATAAAATTTTGCGGAGTTTATTTATAAATTTAAATTTTTGTGTTTAGCATGACAAAAATAAAGAAATCATATTTTATGAATTCGATTGTATGGATTTAAATGTAGTGAAATCAAATTCTATTAAAAAATGTGGAATTTCCAAATGAATTTTACAGGTTTAAATAATCCAAAGTTTTATAATAAAACTCTCCGTACTTTTAGTCTTCCAAAATTATTATACCAAGAATATTTTTATAAATTAAATTAAATAACTTTTTAATTTTTAAATTAAAAATTTTATTTATAATTGAATTCTATTTAAGATTTATTTATAAATGACTTTAGAATTCTTGAGGAGCGTAAGAAAAATTTAACTATTTCCAAACGGGTGACCTTTACACTAAATTAACCATATAAAAAAGTTTCGAACAAGTGAAAATATTCCTATCTTTTCACTAAAAAAACAATAATAAAGAGTAAAAAAAATTTTAAACTGACAAATAATTATTAGTGCTATTTGAGATAAAAAAAATTATTTTTTATAGTTTTTATATATTTATATTTATCAGGACACATGAGCTCAACTGCTCAAGAATACATTAACGATAATAAAATCTTAATTTCAAATTAGTTGATATCAATATAAATAAATTAGCTAATTTTACTAAATCAGACATTAATTGTTTGTGTCAGTTGATAGCTAGTAGCAGCTACTATTAGTTTGATAAATATTGAATTTAGTAAAATTTTAGTAATGGTTGGCATTAACGTATAAAATTATTATTAAAAATATAATTTTTTATATATATATTCTTGTAAAATACATATTTTAATTTTTAAAATTAATACATTTAATTTTAATGTGATATATAAATAAATACATTAATTAATTTTTTTTTTTATATATATTATTCTTGTTAAAATACATATTTTAATTTTTAAAATTAATACATTAATTTAATGTGATATATAAATAAATACATTTAATTAAATTTTTAAATAATTAATTAAATTAATTATAAAAATTAAAAATAAATACATTAATTAATTTTTTAAATAATTAATTTAAATAATTATAAATAAAAATAATCATAAAAACATTAATTTAGAAAAAAAAATATATCTTTTAGCAGTTATGTTTATAAGATTAATAGAGTTCAAATATAATATAAATGTAAATCAATTAGCTAACAGAAAAAAGTTCCAAAAAATCTTATAGTTGAGATAAATCAATTATCAATTGAGCTAAACATATTCGTAATTGATGAAATCAGCATCAAATTGAGATTTGTGTCAACAACGCATCTAAGTTACACAAACAAAAATATTGTCATAAAACACGACACAATGTGGATCGGATGCAATAATTTTTCAAAAAAATAAGGCATCAATATATTTAGAACACACTGCACTAAGCAAATATAGTTATTAAAATTCAAATAAATACGACAGTCATTTATGTAAGTCATAAATATAAAATAAAAAAATATTTAATTCCCTAAAATCATAGCCTTTATCTCTGATTTTTTTTTTAGAGATAAATTATCAATTTAAAAAATTTCAATGTCTACGGAGTTTACCTTTTGCTTATTTAGCCATAAATTAACAATTTTGAGAGTTTCAACAATTTTAAAAAACTCAATCAATGATATAAAATATTCTGCATTTTAATTTGTTGAATATAATATGCTTCTGAATTACCATAAGATATGGTTTTCTTTGTTTTTTTTTTTTTTTTTACTTTTAACTTTATAATTAAAGTTTAAATAATTAACTAATGTATATTTAAGATAAAAATTTAAAGTTTTTATAAAATATTTATCTAAAAGTCTTATAAAAAATTTATAACTATATCTGATTTTTTTAATTAAATGTTATGTTATTAAAAATTAAAAATCAGAAAAAAAAAAACTTAACTTAGATATGGTCATAACAAGCACAGTTTGTCAGACCTCCTTCATACACTCAAATTAGTAAAAAAAAAATTGTTAAATGAAAAAACTTAAAACACGATTCTATTGCCAAATTGTAGTGCAAGCATATAATAACGCTAACCTTATAAAGTGATAAGCAGTGCTATTAACTGCATCCTAACAACCTATAATATAAATATATAATTATTGTTTGTTGAGTAATCAACTATTAGCTGCATCCTGAACCAATTGCTCTTTTAATTAATTACAATAATATTTTTTTAAAAATTGAAATTACTTTATAAATTTTATAAGTTTTACGTGTATCTTTTTTTTGAATGATATAGTATAATTATTTTAAACAAACTTAAAATAATTTATTATTTATGAAATTTACAAATATGACAAATATTTAGAAAGACAATAATTTCATAGATGTGACAAGTATTTGAGAATCTAAATACTCTTATCAAAATAAAAAAATCCGGACTCTCTTTCTCTAAAAATCTAAAACCTCTCTTTTATTTTTTTACAAGCGGCCACCGATGGTCACCCCTTTCCTTTTTTTGTTTGAGGCTCGTGGGATTGACCAGGAGGGTAGGGGGATTTTTCGCAAATAATCCTCAAATCTGTTCATAAATTGGAGTTATTGTTACCCATGTATTGTGATTTATTGTTGCTCATATATTGAGATTTTGTCTTCAGATCTAATTCTAAGTTATTGTTATCACCATTATAGTGATTTTATCTAACGTCTTTTATTATTTGAATAGTTATGCAAAAAAAAAAAAAATGTAGATCTCTTTTCCAATAAAAAGAAGAAATTTAAAGGTAATCTTTTCGGATTTATAGAAAGACTATGAAATCGAACAGTGGCAATGAATAGGCACCAAGTGGAGCAAGCGATCACCTACTACACAAATATCATGCCCTGTCAAGTCAATCAGATACTTCAAATCAAAATTGTGTTTTTTTACTCTTTATATAAATGGTTTATTACTAAACTTTCTATATAAAAATATAGAAATATATTAATATGTATCTAATATCAGTTTTCAATTAATGAAATTCTAGTTTGATTTTTCTAAAAAAAAAAAAACCTTATAAAAATCGGATAAATCTTGCTCATTTGATTGCATGGTGTAATAAACTTCCATACGGTCAATTTATAATTTAATGTCAGATATATAAAAAAGTATCTAATTAAAATATTTAAGAAATGTATTTAAAGTGTCCTAAAATGATTTTAAAGTTTTTGAAATTACTACTTTTATTCCATAATACTTACCACGTTTGAAATTTTATATTCTTAAGAAAATCATTAAATTTATCTAAGTTACAATAAATTATTGAGTAAATTGATCATATTACCATTCATTTAATACTAATTATGTAAGAAAACCATTAAATTGAAGTAATAATTATTGATCATATACAAAGATTAAACATGGAAAAAAATATTTATTACTCATTGAAACCACAAATGTGATAAGTATTTTGAAACAAACTATCTTCTCAAATGTGACAAGTATTATGTAACAAAAATAGTAGTAAAATTAGAAAAGTAATCATATGTGTTTAAAAATATTGGACACGTGTCCGAGAGTGTTTAAGTTGTTGTCTGACGTCGGTACAAGAACATTAAACTTTTCAAGTGTACAACCTACAATATAATTTGTTAAAGTACTACTTTGGTTTCATGATACTTGTAATATTTAAAATTTCACATTTTTTAAAAAAATTATTAAATTTGTCTAAATTACAATAAATTATTGAGTAAATTGATTATATTATTCTTAATTTAATACTAATTCTGTCTTAAATTACAATAAATTGATTGAGGTTATTGAGTAAATTGATTATATTATTCTTAATTTAATACTAATTCTCTAAGAAAATCATTAAATTAAAGTAATAATTATTGGTCATATGCAAAGGGTAAACATATAAAAAATAAATTTATTACTTCTTGAAACTGCAAACGTGATAAGTATTTTAGAATATTTTTTTTTTCAAATGTGATAAATATTATGAAATAAATCGATATTAATCTACTATTAACTGCATAGTGAACCAATTGCTCTCTTAATTAATTATAATATTATTATTTCAATTTAAATAAATTTTCCCTAGTATTTTTTTTTTTTTGAATGACGGTAATATAATTATTTTCAACACACTTAAAATATTGAAAAAAAGGTTTTTTTTTTTTTTTTCCCGTTCATGACGAGAATCCTACATTAATTTGAATTGTGCATTATTGATGATAATGCTTTAGTCAAGAATGGAAAGAGAGAGACAGAGGAGACCGCCCAGTCATCCCATAGAAAGCTTCCACTTGCACTTCTCTCTACTCCATTTATATCTGATTAATTGAATATAATGTTATTTTCCTCTGTCATAAAATAAAACCCTCGATGCCCGTGCAAGCCTAAGTTTCTCTCTCTCCATTACCTTCTCCTCCTTCCTCTATATCTGTGTCACCCTCTCTTCACTTCTCTTCATCAAATGAAACCTTTCTTTCTCTCTCTCTCTCTCTCTCCATTTCCAACGACAAACAAGACTTAACAACTCAAGAAAACGAAACCCAATAATCTCTCTCCCTCTCTCTCTCTCTCTTTCTTTCATGAACATGGATTCTTCTTCTCACCACCAGAACTGGCTTGGTTTCTCTCTTTCTAATCAACATCACCAGCATATAAATCCCTCTCATCTCTGTCTTTTTGAAGCTTTTACCACCACCACCACCACTTCTTCTGCAGGTCCACTTCTCTCTCTGTCTCATATAGTATTTTCCACAAACACAAACAGATGCATACTCTTTGCTGCATAAAAAGAATAGATATAATCCTAATAATTTTTGGATTAGTTTTTATAGGCTTGTTTTTGAAAAAATGAAATGAAATATAATTTGTATGTTCTTTTTATTTTGTTATTAATGCTGTAGATAGAGGTAGAGCACAATCACAGGCACGAGGAGAAGATGTTACAGCAACAGGAACAGACCTATCAATATTTACTCCAACTGGACCAAAGCTCGAGGACTTTCTTGGCAGCTCCACCACTGCACCACCGCCACCGCCACCACAACCATCACTGCAGAGTCAGTTTCTTGCTGAAACAGCAGCAGCAGCAGCAGCAGCAGCACCACCACCACCATCTATGACTACTGACTCTGAAACGTGTGAAATATACGATTCTGAGCTTAAAAGCATAGCCGCTTGTTTCCTTCGTGGGTTTTCAAATTCTTCTTCTTCCTCCTCTTCTACTACTACTACTACTACTACTAATATTAATCAAGAAATAAATATCATTACCCAAAATCAACCATTACTAGCTCAAGCAGCTGAATCTGCACCAAGAAAAACTGTGGATACCTTTGGCCAACGTACATCAATCTACAGAGGAGTCACTAGGTATTCATTTATTTGATTTAAATATAAACAAAACCCAGATCTTTAAAATAAAAATAATTAAGGATTTATTTTCCTCTTTAGACATAGGTGGACTGGTAGGTACGAAGCTCATTTATGGGATAATAGCTGCAGAAGGGAAGGCCAGAGTAGAAAAGGCAGACAAGGTAATTTTCTGTTTTAAGATCTGAGTAATAAATCTTCTCTGAATCAGGTTTTGTTGATGTAAATTTCTTTATTTCATTCTACAATAAATATTTATGAAGATTCTGATCTGTTTTTGTTCGTCTGTTTCTTTTATGTGCATGACGAATGATTACTGTTGATGGTTGCACGAATATCATAATTGTTTCTCAACAGTTTATTTGGGTAAGTTAATATATTTATAATTTTTATTAATTCTTTGTCCATGGTTATGATTATCCATTTATAATAAAGTATATGATTAAATCCATCATTTTGTTTTTACTGTTGTGACTAAATATTCATTCATTCATTCTTCTATTTATGAAATCATTTATATATGATCTACTTCAGATTGGACTTTAGATTTTGCTTCTTGTTAACTTAAGACTCCGTTTCTTTTTGAAATAAGAATCTATCCTTAGATTCCTTTTTCAATAGTATTGCATATTTAAAATTTTTTTCTTATTTTGGTATAATTTTCTTTTAGGTGGCTATGATAAAGAGGAGAAAGCAGCTAGAGCTTATGATCTTGCTGCTCTTAAGTATTGGGGTCCAACCACTACCACAAATTTTCCGGTAATTTAAATTACATTAAGCCCTTTAAATATATATTTATTTATATATTTTGCATGATCAAATCATATTTTTCTTTTTTTTTATTGATGTAATTAAATAATCAATCTAACTCTAAAATTTTTATTCTGCCTTAGATTTCTAACTATCAGAAGGAAATAGAAGAGATGAAACACATGACTAGGCAAGAATTTGTTGCTTCGCTAAGAAGGTAATAATGACAATATTACCATATATTAATAAATAAATTAAACAAAAATTAATTTTTTTAGCTTTTATATATATATATTTTTGTTATATATAATAGGAAAAGCAGTGGTTTCTCTCGAGGAGCATCCATTTATAGAGGCGTGACAAGGCATGTGATATTTTTTGAAATTCATTTTCTTTGTATTTTTAACATACAATGTAGGTTAAAGTAAATTTCAATCATTTATATTTTTTCAAAAAAATATTTCAGGCATCATCAACACGGTCGATGGCAAGCAAGAATCGGAAGAGTTGCCGGCAATAAAGATCTTTATCTTGGAACTTTCAGTGCGTTTTTATTTTAATTTTTATTTATTTATGCATAGTATGTGCAACGCGATAATGAAATTAAAATAGTAAATATGTATCTCTTAATTAACTAACAGGCACTCAAGAGGAAGCAGCAGAGGCTTATGACATTGCAGCTATAAAATTTAGAGGGCTAAATGCTGTTACAAATTTTGATATGAGTAGATACGATGTCAAAAGCATAGCTAACAGCAATCTTCCCATCGGAGGAATTTCCGGCAAGTCAAAGAATTCATCGGACTCAACTTCAGAAAGTAAAAGCATGGACGGCTGCAAATCATCTGCCGACGACCGAGATCACCTTTCCTCAGCATCCTCAGTTACCTTTGTATCTCCTACTGCAAACTCTCCGTTAGGGTTTACAATGCCAGTCAAACAAGATCCTTCTGATTTCTGGTCAAACATTCTCGGATGCCGGAATACTTCGATTACAACATCGGTGAGCAACAATACCAAGAATGAAACCGGTAATAATGTTACATTTCATTCATTTTCAAACCCACTTTCTCAAGTGCAACCGAGTATCGATGTCGATTTCAACGTGGGTTCTTCGGTCAACTGCGGTAACAACAACGGGATATTATTGAATGGCGGTGGTGGATACTACGGTGGAGTCGGACTTAGTGGTGGCGGGGGCGGCGGCGGTAGTGGTGGGAGTAATGTCTCAAGTACGAGTTCAAATTTGATCCCATTCGCAGCACCGGTTGCTTTAAATAGTAGTAGCAGTAACTACGAGGGGAGTTCTAATTATGGAGGATGGATTGCACAATCTATACATAGTTTACAATCTGCAAAGCCTAATGTATCAATATTTCAGACACCAATTTTTGGAATGGAATGAGCTGTTTGTTTGTTCTCTGAAAAGAGGAGATAGAGAAGAGAGATTATAGATGAGAATGAGAATCTGTGGAAAAATGGTGAAAGTTAAGGCGGTAATGGAAATTTTTTGTTGCATGCCAGCATGCATGGACTTCATAGATTGGTTGGTCAAAATTTTTTTTTACTAAAAAAGTATTTTGACAGAAGCTGACCGTACTAACCGAGTTACTTTAATTTCTTTTTCTTTTTTTTTATTTTTTTTGTTTTCTTGTGGTCTTTGATTCTCTTTTTTTGTTTTTCTTTTCCTTTTCTGCTTTTTATTACTGACATGAATTTACTTGGGTATAAAATGAAAATTGAAAAAGAAATCCTTTTGTAATCTTTTTGTCATGTTGTTGGTTGGTACGTGAAGAATTTATTTTCATATGGTATTAGAGGAATTTTGTCTCATCTTTGTAATATTATTGTATATAAGCATGTAATAAAATTCAATGGGTTAGTATCATTAAAACACTCGAGCAATTTTACTTTGGGAATTAGCTAGTTGGCAATTGAATCTATTCTTGCATTGTTAGCCAAGGGAATGGAGATTCGAATATGAATGAATATGAACCTGACATATGAATCTATATGCATTTAGCATCGTACTTCACTCGCTATTAAGATTGAAACAAGCAGAAGGCAAAAAAAAAAAAAAAAAAAAATATTCTTGCATTTGTTAGCCAAGGGAATGGAGATTCGAAATATGAATAATATGAACCTGACATATGAATCTATATGCATTTAGCATCGTACTCTTCACTTTCGCTATTAAGATTGAAACAAGCAGAAGGCAAAAAAAAAAAAGAAAAAAAAAAGGTTCCCAACCCTAACATTATCCTTAAAAAAATGAATCTATCAATGCCTATGCTAAAAAAAAAAAAAAAAAAAAAGGATTCCCAACCCTACATATCCTTAAAAAAATGAATCTATCATGCTATGCTAACCCTTTGCATCCCACTCTATAAAATAAATATTTATCAATGAATTTTAGGTCAGTGATTGTAATTAAATTCGTCTTTAGGTTTATTTTGAATTTAAACTTCAATAGTAACTAAATTGAAAAAAAAAAAAAAACATTTACCCATTAAATTATATGGTTTATCATCCTTAGTCAAAGCACGATGTCTTTAATTATATATATCAAGAAGATAATGCTATATGTTTATCACTACCCAAATGTGGGCAATTAAGCTCCTTTTGACCTATGATTGACTTCAATTAAAGATTTGATTTTCATTTATACCATTAACTTTCAAGTGTGATAATTAATGAATTTTGAATTAAACAAAATAGATTATGATCCATATCATAAGAAATTATGATATCCGTTCTAAAAAGATAGTTGTCTTTTATTTTTGGTTGTTCTAAAATATAGTCCACTTTTCTTTTTTACATTGTAGTTAACCTTTAAATTGTCTATTATCCTCTTTTTAAATTTTATCTTATTTTCAATTATTCTCATTAATTGTTTATTATTTTAATATAATAATTGTTTATGTGTTATTTAAGATGCACATAATAAGAAAGTTATTATGAATAAAATTGTCATTTAATCATAATAATGGCTACTTTCTTAATATGTGTAAAAATAAAAAATGGACTATTTTTTTTGAGACGGAAGGAATATTTATTTTAATTCAATTAGATAGACCTTTATTTTATATATCGAGGAATCCCAATTTAATTTGATAAATAATTTTTTCATAAATTAAATAGCATATTTTCATAATTATTGATAAATTTCAAATGGCTCACATGAAATGGATCACTAATGTGAAAGAGTATTATGGGATACACAATAGAGGTAGTCATTCCTTTTACTCATAAATTTGTGAAAATTTTTATAGTAGAAAGGAGTTAAAGCCAAGATATCTCAATATGTGAAAATTTTTATGATCGAAAATCAAGATATCTCATTCTTTACATAAGTGGAAAGACTAATTAGACTATATTTAATTGGCTGTAAAAAAACTTAAATTTTTAATTTCATAAATTTTAAAATCATCAATCCAAACATTGCCATAATGTACGTATGGAATTCATATATAACTCAAAAGTAATAAGACGTGTATTTATTTATTTATGCAAAATTTGGAAATGAATATTAAAACTATGGAATCAAATATATAAAAATTGAAGAACATATTTTCGTACAAGTATAAATGTACGTATTCGTACAAGTTGGAAGCATATTTATTATTACCATGTTGCTAAAATTCTTTAAAGTGATATTCTAGTTAATTGATTAAGATTCTTTTATGTACGTGATATTTTTATGTTTTAAATATAATATTATAAAAATGAAATTAACTATATTTATTTTTAAGATACTAATTTCAAACTTTCACTTTCATAGAAACTTTAATCATCAATTCTCCATTGAAAAGCAGAGATATTACAAATATGAATATAGTCACAACTACTCATATTCATCAAGTAATCTAAAATTTGCTTCTTTTTTATTTTTATTTTATTTTTTATGAGCTCTGTCTATCCCTTTCGCTCAATCAATAATTGGGCGTAATAGACTTTTAGGTCTCATTTTATCCCGTCTCCAATGAGTTTTGTGTTTGATTACTGTAATTTTGTTTACTTTCCCTTATTACCAATTATTATTGACAGGGAAAAAAAATTTTAGTGGAATATTTGGGTTTACTATGTGCTTATTTTTTTATTTGTCATTAGATAAATACTATTTTGCGTGAATCTCTTACTCGGTCAGTAATTGTCTGAATATAATAAATTTGTGGATCTCACCTTATTTTTAGGATTCATTTGGTAAAATTAATTGTTGTAGCAGTTATTAGTTATTATAGAAGCTGTCAGCTATTTAATTAGTGTTTCAAAATGGGAATAACGTTTCATAATCTGCTTCTTTAAAGTCTAAGCACTAGTATAAATATAATGCTATTGAACACTATAAATAATAAATAATTTTTTGAGTTCATCAAAACATTAGAAGCTATATGAAAAACGAACATGTCTTATTTTCAATGAATTTTATATCGAATAACAGTGAGTATATTTTTTCTTTTACATTTCCAACTATGAGTAGACAAAACGTCTATCTAAACATCTATTTGTGTTCAAATGGAGGGAGAGGAAAAAATTAAAAAAAAGGAAAAACAATATGATAAAGAGACATATTTAAATTGAGACCAAATTGATGTGTGATCTAAAACCCTAAAATGCTTCCCACACATAAAAAAGGCAGTCTAAACTCTTAATTAAAGGAACCAAAACCTTGACCACAAAAACAAAAGAAAGTGAGAAAAAAACAAAAGTGTGCTATGAGCTTTAAGAAACTTTAACAAGACATATAATAATGTACAATAGGACAGAAAACAAAACCCATATATATTGTTAGCATTGTCTACAAGCTTTTTGTGTGTCCCTTTCCAAACTAGATAAATATATATATATATGCATATATTTATTTATATTAAATCAAAATTCCTGTCCTTTTCTTGTCTCTTATATCCCTCTCTTTGGATGATGGTTCACCTTTTTTTTCCCCTTTGTACCTTTCGGCGCTTAATAGATCCTCACCCTCATCATCACATGCCTTATTGTTTTGACCATTGTTTTGACTGTCTTATATAGTAATTAGTTATACACTTGTTACTAAAATTTAGTTTGTTTATTCTTTTTAAGCGCGGAATAATATTATAGGTTATGCAGGAGGAGTAAATCTCTCTTAAACTTGCTAAATTGATGAAAGTTCTTATAAAAAAAAATGAATAATAGATCTCTTATTCTTGACCTTAGTAAAAAAAAATTAACACACTAAAATTTAGTTAATTTGCAAATTAAGTGAGATCTATTTGATTTTCTCTTTCTATAAGAACATGGCAGAAAAGGATTTTATATTCAAGTTCCATCTAGCCACAAGCTTTCAGGAATAGAAAGAATTACCTTTTATTATAGAGCTCATAATATTATTTCAGCATATTTAATCTATCAATAAATAAAATAAAAATGCTTGATTCCCCCTCTCCTAAGATGCGTGGATTGCTTGAGCAGACATGGTGGGTGTTAGCTGGCCTTGTGTAGGCTAAGTTTTCTTTTTTGGGTTTTTATCCCCTCCTCTCTCTGTTCAAATAAATAAATAAATAAATAAAATAAAAATATTTTAGTTAATTTAATTTTTTAGTATATATAAAAATTTTTAAGTGAGCATAAGTTTTTTTAAAAGGAAAGTGAGCAAAATTATTAGCTAACTTATTTAAATGAGGTACACCTACGCTGGATCTCTTTAACTCCAAATGATTGCGGTATCTCACACTAATCAATTTATAATTTTTGATAAGTGTTATTTTTATAGTATTTTTAATATAATTTTTATTAGGATTTTTAATAGTTTTAATTACTTTAGTTAGCTTTTTATTTAGTTTTATTTATATTTTTCATTAAAGCTTTCTTGAAACATAACTTGCTTAATCTTAAGGAAATTTGTAGGATGTTGACACAGAAAAGAGCAAAACAAAGCAGAACACTCAAACTTTAGCACGCCCGTGTTGGAATCAAGGAAAATCAATGTGGAAACTCAGGCTCTAGCACGCACAAGCTGTGCTATCGGGCACGCCCGTGTTGGAATCAAGGAAAATCAATGTGGAAACTCAGGCTCTAGCACGCACAAGCTGTGCTATCGGGCACGCTCGTGCAGCAAGAGGACATCAATCCAAAGGCATGTTTACCTGAGCACGGTCCTTGCTGTATTCCATCATGAAGACTCGGAGCCTAGCAAGCCCTAGCTGTGCTATGTGGCATGCCCGTGCCATAGATTCCTCTTTAAATGTGCTCCTGACCACGGCCCTTGCTGAACCATCCTTAGAACTCAGGCTCCGGCAAGCCCTGACAGTGCCACACAGCACGCCTGTGCTGCAAATCAAGTTCTATTTTGGGTTGCGAACACCAGCTAGTCCCTACTATTTACATGAGCCCACATAAGATGATTTCCTGATGTGCAGATCAACTTCTAATCCTATCTGAGGGAGTCCTAATTGAGAAGAAATTCAAAGCCTAAACAATTTCCTATTTTCAAAAGGTTTCTTACTTAATGAAGACTGTATTTCCTAAATGAAGTCGGATTTTCTCCCAGGAAGTCTATATAAAGAGAGAACCAATTCATTATAAAGCTATCTCTAGTTTTATAATCTTTTGTTCTATTATTTTTCTCTCTTTAAGACTTCAAGTGATCAAGCATTGTGTCAAGATTCAAGGAAGCCGTCCACGTTATTTGACTAGTTTTTAAATCAAAATGTGGAAACTCAGGCTCCGAATTGCACGGACGCACGGACTCGATATCTGTGAGCGTTAGAGGCAGGCGCGCGCACG